TTTAATTGAAATTTCAGGTTCTGTTGATGAAGACTTTTGATTGAGAATGAAAATATTCTCTCGCCTTATGAACCTTTCATACTTAAATACAACAATAACTTAGACCACCAACACATATTGTGAATTTATTTAATTTTTATTGTTTATATATAAATAAATGTAAACTTTATTTTGCCTTTTATTTTCATTATATCGCTGCTGCTTTTATCGTTTCTTAAATCAAATTGAATTACAAATTGGATTATTTTGTGAGTCACGAAAAATTGTTTTTCATGGAAAAAGAAATATTGAAAAATTTCATCAAAATATTTTCAACATTTTAATTGGCAAAAATTCTCATGGAGCAAGAACCATAAATTTCAATTGTTCATGTTCTTCAACAGGAAAAATATGAATTGAATCATAACTTTCTAGTCGTTTTTTCTTTCTTCAATGACACTCAACAGAATGATTGTTGTTAGACGAATCAGACATCATGTGATGAATCATTGAAGTTTTCCTATGCAAGTTTTAATCAGAATTAAGAAGGGAGAATAAAAATGCAAATATCCAACCACAATTGTTTTGAAGCATCCTTTCAAACCTGTTCAATTCAATTGAGGCTTCCTCAATTTTCATGCTGCCAATCACGATTGCAAAACCACAACAATTTCCGTTTGATGTGAATGCTTCTGTTGATATTTGCTTTACTCTTATCAAACTCGTTTGAAATGCATGTTCGATATTGATTCAAACTCGCTTTAAAGTCTTCCAAAAAAAACTTTTTTGTTTAAAAGTATGTTCGGATTCTTCCACCCACATATCTGCAAACAAAACGTACATCAAAAAATCGAAAAGAAGGATTTTTTTTATTTCCATTAAATATTTGAATATATGTATTCAGACTTAAAGCTGATAAGTCGTTGTTGCAGAAAAATGTCAACAAACAGAATGAAAGAAAAGTTAATCTCTCAAAAAATAAATCTTGAGCACCAAATTGGAGTGAACAGAACACTTTATTAGCAAAATTTATTGTGAATGGCATAGCAGGCTAGGAATAGAATGGAAGGGAATATCACATCATAGCACTAACAAAGAAAAGAGAACCGCTCAAGTTCTTTACGTGAAGTACGACAATCATTTTGTTTTCTTCACTCCAAATAAATTGCGGCACTTGAAAACAAAGCGAAAGTCTGCATCGCGGCGACTAAATTGTATCACGTCGCTTTTTTTCTATTTTTCTTCTCGTTTATGTAATCTTTTAAAGAAGCGAAATTGAAAAAAAACGTGATGAATGTGAGAAAATCGTGAACAAGAAAATTCTACTTTAATTAAATTATGTATCAGAAAGACAGGAAAAGTTTCAGGTGACGAGCAGACTAAGACGGCTAAGAAACTTAATTGGGATCTGATTTTTCTTTTACATCTCAGATTCGCACGATAAGCAGGTGGCTTTAATTGCATTAATAATCTGAAATTGTCATGTATCAGAATAAATAAATAAAAAATTCTTTCAATCAATGTTTTCGGTTGTTTTCACACAACGGGAATTGAATGTTTCAATGTTGCATTGGAAGTTCAATGTTGAAGTTTGTGTACCTCAGAATTTCAATTTAACATCCATAACTGACACTCACAAGATTGATTGAATAAAAAAGCAACAATTATTGAAAGAAAAGGGAAAAAAGTGAAATAAATTTGTTAATATGTAATGACATCTCAACTTTCGTTGTAAATTTAATTTATGAGAATCTCATTTTTGAATGAAATATGAAACTAAGACAAGCTCATAATCATTGAATATAATAAAATTAGAGAAGAGAAAAAATTAATTTAAGATTTTCCTGATTGTTTTTGTCTAAAAAATATGCATTTATGAAAAGATTGGACATCTTAAATTATCTTGTAAATGTATGTTCTGCAAATAATATTGCAATGGACTGAAGGAAGTTTATGGACGTCATAAAGCTCATCTGTTACCTAAATATGCAGGAAAAAGTTGTGTATGATGAAACCTTTTTAACAAATAAAAACAAAAAGATTTTGTAATCAAACGCTCAATGTTAGTTAGCCATATGTCACTAAGTGTCATTGTAGTTTATTTGACATACCAGAAACTATAATTTACTTAATAAACGTGTAAGTCAGAAGTCAAATGTAGGCAGAATCGACAAACATTCACCAGCATCGAACTTGTTTCGGAAATTTCATTAAATCAAAGTGTCAAATAGAATTTTTGGAAAGAGTGATTGCCCACGTTATGATATTTGCTTAATAAAGCATAAAAATAATTCACGATTTTTTTCATTGAATTAACCACATTGATAAACATGAAATTGTTGAGTGATAAATAAATATTTATTTTATCTACCAACACTTTGCTTTTCATTGCTAATCATTTCATATCGCATTGATTTTTAAAGACTTTTTGTATTGCTCGTTATCAACGCTTTAATACTTGATGTTTATTTTCTTATCTTATCACTAAAAAGTTCAAAATTCAAATTAATCAGCAATGTTCAGTAATAAGTTTGATGTGGAAGGTTCAACATGGACTGTCGTTATAATTTCGTAAAAGAGAAAATAAAGGAAAGATTATCTGTTGGATGTGACGACGCATTTTATGTTCTGTCGATTGATGATGTTCGATTAAAATACAAAAAGTGGATTGAAAAACTTCCTCGTGTTACTCCGTTTTATGCCGTTAAATGCAATGACGATGAGAGAGTTTTGAGTGAGTTGGAAAGACTTGGAGCTGGATTTGATTGTGCATCGAAGAAAGAAATTAAGCAGATTTTAAACCTGGGAGTTGATGAGAAGAGAATTATTTATGCACACACAATGAAACAAGAGTCACACTTGAAATATGCTGCAGAAAATCACGTGATGAAAATGACATTTGATAGCTCTGAAGAACTTAAGAAGATTAAGAGAATTCATCCAAATGCAAAAGTTGTGCTTCGGATTCGATTCGATGCGGGAACTTCAATTATTTGTTTAGGAGAGAAATTTGGCTGTGATCCAATAGTGGAAGCACCGCAGCTTATTAGAATGTGCAAAGATGAAGGAATGAACTTGATTGGAATCTGTTTTCATGTTGGATCGGGAACAGATGATTACGAAATATTTGAGAAGGCATTAGCTGCAGTCAAGCAACTATTTGATGTTGCTGGTAACATAGGATTCAAATTAAAATTAGTCGACATTGGTGGAGGATTCGTAGGAACTGACATCAAATTACTTGATAATTATGCAAATCCAATTAACAATGGATTAGAAAAATATTTCCCAGATAATTCTGTTTCAATCATTTCAGAGCCGGGTCGATATTTTGTTGATTCAGCCTTTACTCTTGCAGTTCAAATTACAATGAAGAAAACGGCTCCCGATGGTCACATTCATTATTACACCAATGATGGAATTTACATGTCATTTCTCATCAGTTTTATTTATGAAGAACATTTAAAATTTGATGTTATCAAAATTGATGGATCAAAGTGTGAAACTAAAGAAAAAATGGCAACAGTTTGGGGAACATCATGCAATTCAAAAGATGTGATCATCAGGAATAAAATTATACCGGAATTGGTAATCGGTGATTGGCTCGTGTTCTATAACATGGGCGCGTATACCTTAACAGTGTCAACATCATTTAATGGATTTTTCATTGGCGACGTTATTAAAATGGAAGCTTAAATTTTATCATAAAGAAATATTATAATCGATAATCTCGATAATAAATTCAAAAAAAAGAAAATTTTCGTTGAAAGCTTTCGAGCTTTCAAAATTCAATTTGGATGAGCTTTTTCTCAAATTCTAAATTTTTATTTGTTTACAGTTCAGTTTATTTTCTTTCGAACTCTTCAAAATTCTTTAATTTACTTATTAGTTTAATTAATTAAGTAGTTTTAATAAGACAACAGAAAATAACTCGAAAGGAAAAATTCATTAGTTAGCATAAAAGACGTTAAATTTGAATATTTAAAAGCTTAGCAAAGACACATTCGATATAGAGTTTCCTATAAACCGGTAAATTTTACATCACCTTGTGAAGGTCAGAAATTTCTGCAATCGATTTTTCCGGGTGAGTATATTATTAATTTTATCTGAGTTATTACGGAACAAATCAAAGATTCAGATTGAAATTCTTGTTGATAAGATCCACAGCATCATTCTCATATCAAATTTTGTTACTTTTACTAAAGATTAATCAACCAAAAACTCTCTCAAAAATGTCTCGCAAATTCTGTGTTGGAGGAAATTGGAAGATGAATGGTTCAAAGGAATCAATCACTGAACTTGCCAAAATTCTCTCCACTGGTCCTTTGGATCCAAATGTTGAGATAGTTCTTGGTTGTCCATCAGTTTATATTTCATTCGCTCGAGGACTTCTTCCTGCCTCAATCAATGTTGCTGGTCAAGTGAGTTACTTAATCATGCTTAACTCAAGAACAATCTTAATATAATAATCTTAATATCTTTTAGAATGCTTATAAAGTTAAATCTGGAGCATTTACTGGTGAAGTGTCTCCAGCAATGTTGAAAGATGTTGGCGCTGATTGGGTTATCATTGGACACTCTGAACGTCGTCAAATCTTTGGTGAAAGTGATGAATTGATTGCTGAAAAGACTGCTTTCGCCCTTGCTGAAGGTATGAAGGTCATTGCGTGTATTGGCGAGACACTGCAAGAACGTGAAGCTGGACAAACTGAAGCTGTTGTCTTCCGTCAAATGAAAGCAATCGCTGCTCAAGTTAAAGACTGGACCAACGTTGTTGTTGCATACGAGCCAGTCTGGGCAATTGGTACTGGAAAGACAGCAACACCAGCACAAGCACAAGAAGTTCATGCTGCTTTAAGAAAGTGGCTCGTTGAAAATGTTTCACCAGCAGTTTCTGCTTCCTTGAGAATCCAATACGGTGGTTCTGTTACTGCTGCCAATGCTCGTGAATTAGCATCACAACCTGACATTGATGGATTCCTTGTTGGCGGTGCCTCTTTGAAACCTGAATTTGTGCAAATCGTCAATGCGAAACAATAAATAAACTTCATGAAGAATTTCAGAAATATCTTTTGAAGTTTCATCATCATCATTTGAATTGTTCCTTTGAGACATTAAATGTTTATGGAAAGAAAATAAATTGATAAGAACTTAAAGTTATTATTTGTGAATATTAAATTGTCTCATTATTTTATATTTAGAATAGAAATTTTGATGGCTTTAACTTTAATAAGGTTCATGCACATTTAGATGATTTTGTATTTCAGGAGAATGTTGGACATCTAATCAAGATTATTTATATGTACTTGGATGTATGATATTAATTGTAGATTTATTCGGTTAAAATATCTATTTATAGAATCAAAAGGCTGAAGAAGAAAAATAATTAAATTGAATGAGTTGCGCTTTTCGTCCTAATTTTCTTAAGAAAATTGACCGTTAAATGCTAAATTGCTAAATTTTTAAATCTATAATCTACTAAACCATTTAATCCGAACGGAAATTTAAGTAGACCATTCAGTAGATTTCGCTAATTGAGTGTGTTTTCGTAATTTTAATTTTGATCTTTACTTGATTCTATTTTAATTTGGAGTCTATTTTAAATTCTAATCAAGAATATTATCGCTATATAATAAAATGAATCGAGAACAAAATGAAAACGTAAGTAAATAAGAAAAGAATTTTAACGAATTTTTATCTAAAAATTTTTTAAGATTGATGTCTCGAAACCAAAAATGAAGCCACCTCGTCTTTGCCAAGTTTGTGAGCGTGTTTCGTTTCTTAAATGCATGGAATGTGATACCATTTATTGTTCTTCAAAATGTCAAATCGAAGTAAGTCATGTAAAGTTTTGAATTCCTAACCTCATTTCATTTAACTTTAACTTCAATTTAGGATTGGGAAGTACATCAATATCAACATATTTCAGCTTCAAAAAAGAATTTAAGTAAGAGTTTGCCTTTACCCTCATCGCAACCTAAGCCGACTCAGCGAAGTAGCGTTCAAAGTCGTATAACGTCGATTCAAAAAGTTGACTTAAATCGATTGGAAAAGTCACCATTGGGAACAATTAATAAGACTCAGCCATTGCAATTGCCTCCAAAAACCAACTACAAAGAACTACAACCAGTAACAACAGCTAAGATAGTTGATCATGAAATAAATGAAAAAAAGACAAAAATTAATAACTTAATTAACCAAACAATCGATAGAATGCAAATTGAACGAAAATTTGCATACAAATTTCCATGGAATGAAAAGTTCCAAGATGCAAATGGCTTTTTTAAGGTGTTTATAACTGAAATAGTTCAAAAATATGACAAATCTTTCATATATTGGGTTGTTCTTGATGATCTCATGAACCTTTACAAATCAGCTCGACATGCTTTTAACAAAACTTATGATTCGGATTTGTCGATCTTCATTCCACGCGATGATTTAGAAAAATTCAAGATGCATTTGGTAATGGTAAAAGTTGAAGGAAATTGGCTTCGTTGCAGAATTTGTAACATCAATAAAGATGACAAATGCATAACTTTAGAGGATATTGATAGTGGCAAGAAGCATATAACAACAATTCGCGACGAAAAGCAATTTAAAGTTCCAATGGAAAAGGAAATTTCCACTTCTGCCTTTGCATCGCCAATGCTGTTTGAAAATGTTTCAATTGCCAACGATATCAATGTAGGTGATATTATAAAAATTCGTAAAACTGTTGAAAGCACTTTCGGCGAAGAAGTTGCCGAAGTTGAAATTGGGGTAGAATCTAAACCTGAAGTTGATCGCATCTTTATCGACAACTTTCATTCAAAAGAACTTCAAACTGGTGATCGTGTTAAAATTCAATATTGCGACTGTAGCAAGCTATCGAAAGGAAAACTTCACATCACTGAATCACAAAAGGAAAATTGGGCTTTCTATAAAAAATTAGAAAAAGAAATCAAAGAGTTTGTTGAAAATAATCCACCAAACGGAAATTATCGACCAGTGTAAGTATTTTAAATGATTTAAATAAACATTTTTATTTATTATTTTATTCAAACAAGTGAACGTGAGATGTTACTGGCAAAATATACCGACGGATGTTATTATCGTTGCTTTTGCATTTCTCTTTCTGGTGACAAGGCAAACATTTTATTCATCGATTATGGATCAAGTCACGTTGCTGGTTTTGATGAAATTTTGCCTCTTCCTAAGTCACTTTCATATCCCAGTTGGTCGCACACCGTCGAAGTCAAATTCCCAACAAATCGACCATTCATTGACATTGATGTTATTGAAACTTATGCTTTGTTGGAATCCAAAACTGAATTCTACGTAAAAGTAGAAAAAATTTCGAAAACTTCAAGCAAATATGCAATAACTTTAGACGATTCTCTCGTTGTTTATAAGAAAACTTAAGCAGGAAATTCATTTTTTCCTTTAACTTTCTTCTTTCTTCCTAATACTTATCTCATGAACTTTATTATTAATCATTGAAACTGGTTTATTCATATTCAAATAAAAGAATTTTTTCGTTCTAAAAGGAATTCAACTTTGTTTCTATTTAGAATTTCATTTCCATGCTAATTTTTTTATATAATTAAAGAAGTTTCTCAAAGGTCAGCTGAAGAGTGTTGAAATCCCATGAAAGCTTCGAAATCTTTCCCATTGGGTTTTATGGAAATCTGACTGTATTTATTCAATTATTTCTGAAGGGAGATTTGGGATTGCGTGTCTGAAAGATACCCACAAATAAAACTACTTTACACACTCAATGTTAAATCAATTCACGCACGAAATGGAATGATAATAAAATTCAATTTTATCACAGTTCATTGGAATCTCTTTCGATATCGGCATAAAAGGATTTTTTTTTTGAAATGTGGCGAGGATAGAAAGCATAAAAGAAAAAATCTGCTAAAATTCAATCATTACGACATAAATAAAAGTTGGTTGTGAGTGGAATTTCCGAAGAGAGAAGAAAATGAAACTGAAAACAGTCCCGCTATTGACCTTTTTCCGACTTATCGTATCAATCTTCTTTCAATGTGTTTTTCTTCTTTCTTCTTCTGTTTCATTTTATTTTATTAAAGTCTCAGGTTGTGAAATGTGAAAATTAATTTGATGTGATTTGTAACTGTCAAGAATGTGTGGTTATAGAAGGTGAAATGTGAAAGAACGAACATTTTCTTTAAAAGGTGTGCATGCAATGATAGGCTTTATGCTTATCAGCACACATGCTAACATACTTTAGGTTCATCGATTTATTATTTTTTTATTCCTTTTTATAAATCAACCAACATGTTGGCTTATGGTGAGAAGGGGAAGAAAGTGTAAAGAAAAAACTAAGCTTTCATTATTAATCACAAGCTCTATGTTTTTTTGAATGAAACATAAAGGAAGTGAAAAAGAAGCATCATCAGAATTAATGTTAGACGTGCGAAAAGGGAAAAATCCATTTTGTCGATTCGATTAAGTTTAGCATCTTTCATTCTCACTTCAATAACTTTGTCTCAGATTATCGTCGCTTACTGGCTGTGCATGAACGAACTGAGAAGGACAACAACAGATGTTTCAGTTCAGATGCACGTAAATCGATGGACATAAAATTTTTTATAACGAAAATATTCATAAAATAAGTTTTATAGGAATTGAGCGAGTTCCGCAATTTTGTGGGGACAACTGAGTAGCAGATATAAAAATATTTCTCGTTGAAGTCCTTTGAAATGGAAAATATTATGCTTTGTTCACATGACACGATCCCACTTAAGTTGTTCATGTTTCTTTTTATTTCTTCGTTTTCATCATCACAAATTTGCATAATTTGACTTTACACATTGTTGAGCAATGACATTGTAAAGCTTTTCATTGCGCTATCTACGAAACGTGATGTGATGACAAGGGACGAGAATTGGAAGCAAACTTCAGGCTGAATTTAATGTTCCACAAAAAAATATTTTGTTTTATAAAAATTGCATAATGACATAATAATAATCAACATCAAATTAAAAATATAAATTTTCTATCAATCAGATATTTGTACGATCAGCAAATGGCTTTTTTAAACGAAGATTGGGACAACTCATTTGCTTCTTCATTTCTAAACGAGTTGTTATGTTTCTGTCAACTTGAATTTCTTCACCATTGACAGTGAAACTTTCATTATTAAGAGCTTTGTAATTGTCAACTTCTTTAATGAGAGCAATTTCAGTTTTGTAAATTTTTCTTTCTAAAGTTTTACGTTCTTGTTCTTCCTTCAGCAGTTGACCGCCGCGATTCTTCAAGCGAGCTCGTGAATCATTCTTTTTGATTGTTAAATGTTGAAGGTTCATCTTTAGTTGTTCACGCTCATCTACGAGCATAAAAATGTTTTTATTCGTGTCATAAAACTTTTCCAGATGAAGAAATTCATTTTGGTGTCGTTGCAAGACGTCATTGTCGTATATCAACACATCAAACATGACAGAATTGTGACAAAACTTTTCAGATTTCCGACACAATTTCATGTATTTGACCAACTTCTCTCTCGTCTTCTCAATTTCACTTGAAAGTTTTCTATGCTTTACTTTTTCACATCGATCCAATTCCACTTCAAGTCTGCTTAAAACACAAAAATCTACCGGAATATGAAAAAGCTTTTCGTGCGGACTGTCAGAAATTTCTAAGTATCTCCAAATTTCTCTTAATTTCTTTTTCAATGTTTTGCATTTCGAAGTCATTGTCGAGTATTTCTGTTCCAGACCAAAATTGATGCTTTTAAGACTGTTAATATTCTTCTCAGAAGGTTTGATGTCATTTTTCAGAAATTTTAAATAAGCTTCTGCATCGAGTCCCAATTTCAATATTAAGTCATCGATATTTTGTTGATATTCGCAGACAAGCTCCAAATGGTTATATTTCATATCTTCAAGTGTAGTTATGTACTCTTTATGTCCCTTGAGCTGTGATTCGGATGGAAGTTCTTCAGCAAATTGTTTAAGTGTCGTTGAAATGTCCAATTCTGTAAGTTCTTTAATTAATAACTTTCTATAAATAACTAAACGAAATCTGAAACTTACCATCACATACTAAGCTTTCTTCCTTTAAAATACGTTCAAATTCTTCTTGACGAACTTTTATTTTCATTTCATTCTCATCAACGATGATTTTTAATTTTTTGTGAAAGTCATACAAGGACAAATTTTCGTTTGGTAGATTTTTGATGCCTTCGTTAAGCTTTCTTTCACCATCCTGTTTCTTTTCTAGCAATTCTAAATATTGAATATAAATAATTTGAGAAAATTGGGAAACGAATTGTCTTACCTTTGTTCATATTCTTCATTTTGTCCATTATTTGACTATTTTCTGTTATAACTTCATTAAAGAAATGTTCATGTGTAGCTTCTAATTGTCTCTCCAGTACCCACATTCTATCAAAGCCATATAATGTGATCCAGTCATTAATTAAGCCATTGAGACGCTTCTTAGCTGAATCTAATATAACACGAAGACATTTATTCTTTGCATTTTCAAATCCATCATTCTTTGTGGCCTTCATGATTGCGGAGTTTTGTTGCGGAAATTGCTTCCAAATGAAATTTTCAAGATGAAATATTGTGACAAATTGATTACGTAATGAAAAAGGTTTTTAATTTTGAGTTGTTAAAAAGGTAGGAAGTAAATAGTAAAATAATAAAAGTTAAATGCTTGAAGAGTGAGTTTTGAATTTAAAGTTCAAACGGATTGACCTGATAATCCGGAAGCAAAAATATATTTTTAAATTTTTGAATAGCCGTTAAAATTTTAATTTCAAGTTAAAAATTAGATATTTGAAAATTTATTCCAACTCTGAACTCAAATCATTTCTAACCATTATTGAGAAAGTTGAAAAGAAAATGTCTCTCAATCAATCGACGGTTACCGTAATCGATCACAGTCTTTGTACAATAAATTTTATTCTCTCAGAAATATTCACAACTTCTCATTCAATTAAAAATTAAAGCCGAAAATTTAAGTTACGAGAACATTTTAAAATAACATTACGAAATTGATTTTCACTTTTAATTAAAATGAAGCGAAAGAAAAACATAAGGAAAAGCTTTCAAATAATTTCTTAAAAATGACAATTTAACATTACCGTCATCAGCAGAACTTATCGTTTTCACCCTCGCTTTCACTTACTGTCGTCACCATTTCCTTTTAATTCGGTCGCATTTTTCATTTCCGTTTCTTTCTCTTCTTACTTGACTTCAAGTAAAAAATATTTTGAAACATTTGGTTCAACAACGAAATGTATAGTTAAATTGTAGAATTTAGAAGAAAAACATTTTTCCAACCCAAAAGCACAAGAAAGTTTCGTTTTTTTCATTCAAAGCACCAGATGTTTCTGTTCATTTCTAGCTTCAATGTTTTGTTGTGTTTTTGTCTTACTATGTTTAAACTTTTCAGTGAATCATGAAAATAATTTATTCGCAACCGCTGCTTCTAAACAAGATAGCAAAAAGATGAACGAGAAATGTAAAGGTATCTAATCTCTGTCTTCTTTAAAAAAAATAATCTTTTGAGCACATTTTCTACCGCAATTAAAAAAGGATCTCAAAACGAAAGCGAGATTCAACTTTACTCGTAGTGCCGTCCGTGAGAGGTATGAGAATAATGAATAATTACGAGAATTTTCAAAATGTGTTGCTTTCAAATGTAATTAACCTTGCAAATACTCTGTAAAAGGTTTTTCAAAAAATATTTCAACATTAAATATTCCATCAACAGAAAAATCTTATTTATGATGTGGTTTTATTTACAGAAAATGCATTTGACATCTCAAAGCATTTTGTATGAAAACCTCTTACAAAGTACAAATTGAAACAGCAAAAAAGAGAATGGAAGTGATGACAAAATGAATCCCGCAAAGAAGAAAGCACTCAGGGTGGTAATTAATTTCCACTTAAGGGATTGTGTCGGAATTGTGTCACTTTTTAAATTTTCCTATGCTGTTGTAGAATTTTCGAGGTAATTATTTACGTAATGTGTTTTCCACAATCTGTTAATGTTTTTTCAGTAAAAATCCCTGAATAATCAAAAAACTTTAGATTCAAAAAGATTTTCTCTTTTATTTCACATACCAAAAATCCCTTTCCGTAAACAAAATGTAAATTGAGCATGAAATGAAATGAGAACCTAAGGTTGAACATAATTTCATCTTTCAAAACCATTCACAGCATACTTTTGACTTAAAGGTTTCTCAAAATATCTTTAATATTAACTCAATGGTTATTATATGTGCACATAACACATTGTAGTGGAATGAAAGGAAAAAGTTTTTGGCTCTCAATGTCGAGTTTATTCGCTTCGTTTACATATCTACATGATGGCGGATTGTTTGCCATCTTCATATAATCCTTTTTTAATTTCTTTCCGGAGTTAAAAGAGACGAAAAGTTTGAAGCATCCTCTACAAACAAGAAGAACTTCTTCCAGTTAGTCGAATATATTTACTTTCTTTGATGCTTGAGTTGTAGGATTACGATGTAAAGTTATTCCATCATAGTCTGTTTGCTGACGTTTTTCTTTCACTGAATAAAAGCTGAAGTAAAACAAAATAAAAAGAGAAACGAGCATTTCATGAAATACAATTTCGTCATCAAACTTGCTTCATCAAAGAGATGCTAGGAAACATCCCTCAATAAGCGACAAGAACCTTCAGTAGATTGTCATCATCTGTTTTCTCTTTTTACATTACACGCAACGTTGGACTCGACTTTGATGTGACTTGATGAAACTTTTTTTCTGCTTCATTGTTGACATTTTATTGTCTCTGAAGTTTTTAAGATACCAAAAAAAAAGAGGAAATTTTTTATTAAAAAAAGGACATCGCGAAGCTGTCACGAATTTATAATTTTTTGTTGCGAATTTTTCCATTGTTGAGTTTTTAATATTTTATGAGAAATGTAGAGAAGAGTCATCTGATAAAATTGGATGGAATTAGCTGGAATATGATGGATTAAAGTATATAATTTTAAAGTATTCTCGTTTATGCATAACATTTTTTAAATATTCAACAATTTGAATGAAAAGATTGTGACAACCAAAAGAAGTTTTTTTTTGCAATTTACCGTCTTTTCATAAAATTCAATTAATTTTAAAATTGCATAATGCCACAATTTTAATTGAATAAATCTTTCCTGAACGTCAATAAACTCTTACGTATATTTTCTTATTATAACGTCAAATAATTCAATTGATGCTGTTTTAACTTTTTTGCTTCTTCTCTTCTTTCATTTGAAATTGAATAATGAAGAATCAAAGAAACTTTGTTGCTAACATCTAATTGAATTACTTGACGTTTAAAAGAGAGAGAGAGAGATAAAACTTCGGCTCAGCATCAAACAACACTTAATTATATTATTTATTTAATTAAGTGGATTTTTTGTAGCTTTTGATCCCTCGCTGAATTGTGTTTTGTTCTATGTTATCGACACTTTCTATTGTTGAAATTTTCACAGCATGAAACTTAAGGCATCTTATCTTGTTTCCCAAATCTCTTTGAAAAATTAAAAGTTAAAAACATTTTTACACTTTTGTTTTAGGAAGATTTGCTATAACGAGACTTAGAGTTTTGTTCAGATCTCATTGTTCATATCAAGAACATTGCACAATGATGAATTTTCCTGTGTTAAATAGAAAATTTAAAAACAAAATGAAAATAATTTTCAATGCAAAACTTATGGAGTTAAGAAAATTAATTTAAATTAATTAGATATTTATGTGATAGATAGTTATAATTAAATTCCAGGTTTAATCTGTTGACTCGATTAAACTGAAAGTTTAACTGCTTCCCAAACATAATTGATTAAATATTTATTAACAAGCCACATACGTTAATCGACATAATTGTCAATATTGAACAAGTACAAAATGAAAATTTAATTAAAATTTATGTTACAACATAAACGATTCAATAATTGAAAGGGTGTCAATTTGATAAATGTCGGATTGATTAACAAAATATTTACTTTCAATAAACTTTTATCAAATCCACAAGTCTCAAATAAATCATTGTCTTCAATCACAATAATTTTCTTAATAAACATTTCAATTAATCTTTTTCATATCTAATTGGTCCTTGTGGGCCATTCGTAAGCCATGCTTCCTTGTTTTATCCTATCCATTCACTCATTACTTATTTTTCTGTCCCTCAAATTACTAATCCTTTGTGTACGAAAAAGCTTAACGAAATCCTTTTTTATTTGGAATTTTCTCATGAAGACAAATGAGTTGTAATCCATCTTGATGTCGTCATTAGAAATGTTCTCATTAAAGTGGCCAAGCCATCACGTTAATTGCTCCAATTAAGGAAATAAGTGTTATCCTTCTACCAGACTAATGTGATATTCATTTCTCGACTCTTCTGCCTTGATTATCATTCTTAGTAAGAAGTAAAAATTCTTGATTTGTGTGATTAACGATGCTGCGATATAATAATAAGAAACTGAGAAATGTCTTCATTATTTATTTATATATTCAAATGTTTATCATTTTCCGTTTTGGACAAGTCATTCATATTCTGCGAAAACTTTTCTTTTCATTGGAGTTTAATAAAACATCAAATAAAGCGAAAGAAAACTTTTTGATAAACTCAAAGATAATTTTTCATAATTTGTTAGTCAATTTCATTCACCAAAAGTTGAATAACTTATTGATGTTATTATGTCTTCATTGAAATTATTTATTTAAAGCATCATTCTCCTTGGAAACTCGATTTACATTAGAAACGTTCAACTATTTTTAAATTCAATTAATTTTAAGTTTGAATTCTCTCTGAGGTTTTTAAGATTAATTTACGCTTTTAATTTTCATTAATACTACAATTGTATTCACTTAAGCGCTGCCTCAAATTCCATCCTTTAAGGATAAGTCTATTTTAACTTTGCCAAATGTTCCTACTGTTTCAAAATGAAAAGAGATTTTCCTTCGAGAAAGCTTCTTTACATAATTTTCACTTCTTAGAAAAGCAAATTACGTTTCTATGCAATTTGCATTATTCAGAATGCTTTCATAGTCTTAATAATCAGCAGGAACGTTTCCTTTTGAATATTCTCTTGAACTATGATGAGATTTATTTAATCTTATCATTAGTTTTCATAGACGAACGTACTTGTTAGTTGAAATAAGATATAAAATTATTCTTAACAATCATGATGAGAAATGTTCATTCTCACGCCTTTAATAACGCATTTCAAAGGTTTTCGGTAAAACCAAGGGTAAAACAACATTTTTCTTCATCAAGACAGCCCTCGTCGACTCAAATTACATGAAGATCTATGACCGTCCATGCCCTTGCTTCTGTTTAACCCATCATCCCGCACATGACTCATCCTATTTTATTATCTCTTTGAAAACGAGTGGACTGCCAAAGATAAATGAGATAATCTAAATTTAATGAAAACACGAAAATATCATTGTAGCCGCAGAATTTGGAAGGCTTTTAGAAGATAATTTATGGGGTAGAAATTTTTATGAATCAAGGTTGACATTTATCAGTAGTGTCAATCTTTATAGGCTGAAATATATGAAATGATTATTCTTCACTTATAAACGTTCGCTTCGCTTTCAGATTTATTAGTAACATTAACATCGTCGTATGATGAAAATAATCTGAATTCCATTTCATTACTCCACAAATTTGTGAATTAGCGGAAATAAAAAAGGAAGAAAATAAAAATTCGACGGTATTTTACCATCAATAATCGTAATGAATAAAAGATTTAGCATTTTGTGTGGGTGGATAGATAAGGATTCTCCTTAAGCTATAAAATCGAGATATACGGTATAAAATTGAATGAATAAATAATAAGTGAAAGCATCGATAAAATAGAAAATCCTTAAAAGTTATCATTCACACACATACGCAACCGCAGATTTTCTTCCACAATTTTGATTTCTGATCCCATCAAAGAAATAGGAAAAGAAGAGAAATGAATAAAATGAATCCAAGCTAAATCTCCTTTAAGCCTTCGTATCAATGTCAGCCTTTTTATTATATGTGTTCAGTAACAAATGGTTAACAAAGAAAATAAAAAGCAATGCGTTTACCAATTTTTACTCATGAAATATTTATTTCGTTTGTCGTGAAAGTTAAACGCTCCCAACCAAAACATCAAACATTTTATTTATTAGCGACAAAATTTCAGTGTAACATATGAAAGTATAAGAAAGCAAATGTTGACAAATTTGCAGAGACTCATAATGTGTAAACATCCATTATTGACATTAGTAAGTTGTTAACAGTAATCACCCTTCCACGAAGTGCTGCTGTGCCATATGCACACATAATAAAACAAAAGCTTTTAAGAGAAGAATAACAATTCGAATGTATTCAATTAACATTTTATGATACCAGCAGATCTAAACACAAACCTTGGTTTATTAATTTTGTATCCTGTATCCTAATGATGGTAGAGAAAAATAAAAACATTCAAAATATTCAATAAAATGCCAAGGTAGCCCAATGTTGATGTTGTTAAAGGAATCCTATGTAAATTTTCTGCTTCAAAACCAAATAGAAAACTGTTGATCCGCTGTTGATATATGAATGAAGACGGGTGGAAATAAAGCATATTTTTTCTTCTCGCAACTTTACGGTTTACGAACTTCCTATCCAGTTTCATAAAAAAAAATCCAAGAAAAGGAATATTTTGGAATATTTCTAAGAAAAAAAAAGCTTTCAGAGAGTAAAAAGCTTAGCAAAAGTTCTCTCAGAGAGGATAAATTATGAAAGAGAGAACTTTCATGTTGACTTCTCCACCCTACCACGTGAACTTTGCTATCTTCGTTTCTATGTTGCGATAACATATTTTGATTCTTTTTGGTTGTGTAGAAGCTTAAAGCATACTGCAACTCTCCAATTTCAGGACGAACATGTCATTGTTCTTCGGATTGTCATTGAAACCAGTCGTAAAAAATTTTTGCTTACGGTAAAATTCTAACGATTTTAACATAATTTTTGGAGTGGAAAAGTGTGATAATTGAAATTTAAAAAAGGGACAAAAACAAACAGTAATTAAAGACTATCGATACTTAAAATGTTTTATCGGATTATATTCTGATTAACACATAAGCAAACAAAAATATAAAAGAGATTACTCCACAGGATTTGTTAATCATGTAATTAAAAAAGTTTCGGGTATTTGTGATCAAAGTTATAACTTCTACATTTTCGAAGCTTTACCGAGGAAGCGAAATATTCACACGCAAGCATAGATATTCCAATTTTTATATTAATATTTAGATATCAAATGCAAAACTGTAAATAACCAAAAGCACATAATTAGTCACAACATGCAATTAAAAGTTTAATGATAGCAACATTATGTGAATGTAATAAATAATTGTTGGAAAAAATTAATTATTCAGTGCCATTTGAGGCTGTAAGATCGTCGATTTATGAGCTCATTTAATATTCTGAATGCATAAATACAGAACGAAACTAATTTTTCGATCAAAGAAGAATGATGAAAATGTCATGACTTGGCACTTTCTTTATAAGGGAAATGCTTTAGATTAACATTCGTATAATCTTCTAGATTTAGCATTTTCTTATTTTTTCTTAAATCACTTGAATCAGTATAGGAAAAAATAAATCACCGCTATTTCTCAAGTGTCATCTTAAGATGTTGATGATGATATGAAACTCAATATCCTGAACACTCAACTACATTGTACTATTGGATATTTTCCTATTCTTTATGTTCTTCAACATTTACTTAAAGATATTTCCAGGCTAGAAAAACTTTTTTATTTACCAAACAAAATATGTACAGCAAAAAAAAGTTTCCAACAATACATGATACAGAAAAAAATATCAAATTTCCTACACAATGACTTATCTTCCCAAAAAACAACAACAAATATTTTCTTTTTATATTTCCTCATCTTTGAACAAAACAATCGAGGAAAAATTTAATAAAAGACTTTATTTATTAAAATTAGAAGAGGAAAAAAATCCATCATGAAATTTCGACCAACGCTCGTTCTTTTGAGTAAAGAAACTTGAAAATATTTGTTTAATACAAAAATAAGCTTAAAAGTCGCATAGACAGAAAGGAAATTAGAATTTTCATGACTTATTGTTGTTGTCTCGTCAAACTTCTACTCTAAATTGTTTGACTTGCTAATCTCTTCAAAAACGAATTTCTCTTTATGAACAAAAGAAAAAGAAGAATTTGGGCAGTGTGTGGGTGTACATCCATATTAATATGTCAGCAAAACCTAGAGCTAGCCATTATTGTTCCCTCACATTTCAACGAGTTTCAAAAAGAACATTGAAAGTTGAATCGATAAGCTAATAGGATTATAGGAGATTGGAGAATTTTCTGTTATTTTTTTTCAATATGCTGAAGTAAATGCTAACATGTATCGAGATTTGAGAGAAACATTGGGGAAAAATTGATTTTATATTCCCTGTGAACGCTTAAGTCTTATGTGATTCGAAGTAATTTAAAGTGGTTTCTATGGAACTTCAGATTTTACTTAACAAGACTTTTCTTTGTATTGCTTAAAGTGTGCAAATATCCAATAAGTTTAATGTTTTCTTGTTCAATTTTAAACTTAAAGATTTAAGAAAAGTTAAAAATAATTTATGTTTCTTCTTCTTTCATGAGAAAGTTTCTTTTAAAAAACGATGCGATTTGTGCCATGATTTTTATATTTAGTACGTTTGCTACCAACAAAAACTAGAACTTTGATTCAAAAGTTTTGTAAAAAAAATTCAAATAATTGTTCATTGAATTTTATGTTGCAGTTTTTCAAACTTTTGCCATTTAAAACTTTAAATCTTCCCAAGATAGAACTTTCGATTGAGTGCAATTAAAACTGATAGAAAAATATGTGAGATGAACATGAGTGCAAGATAATTTATCTACGATAAGAAGTGAATAATGTGATTTGTGTTGAAATGTCGATAAAAGTTAATCTATCTAAGCTTCTGCTGTACTTCATAACCATTTCCATTGTCATACGAGTTTCAACTGCTGCTGCTATCAAATGCGATCGAATACCCGATGGCACTTTGGCAAGTCGAAGTTCTTCCGACGGTCGCTTTAAGTTGAGAATCCTTGGGGAACCAGATCGTTACATTCCTGGTGAAAATTACACGAGTAAAATCTCACCGTTCTTCGTCGTTAGCTCATATTTAATGAAAATTTATTTTATCCCTCAACAGTCAGTCTCGAGGGTATTTTACGCGCTTCCCATGGACTAACTCATAAATTTACGGGCTTCTACATAACTGCCGAGCGAGACGAACAAGATTCTGTTGCTACAATATCTTCAACGAAGTATGAGGATGACAGCTTCGCTGGTAAATTTCATATCGTCATGAACGCCATATCAAAGTTCTCCGAAAAATGCCGCAATTTGGTTACGCATACGAACTCATTTCCCAAGAGCGACGTGCCCGTAATAAACTTCAAAATTCACACATTTTGACATATCAACTAAACCTTCGTTTAAATATTCTCAGATATCATGGACGGCACCGAAAGCTGGAAGCGGTTGCATAACGTTTAAATCAACTGTGATAGAGCATAAAGACATTTGGTACATGGATGAAGGGGCATTAAGTAAAACATTGTGTGAAAATGAAGCAGGTACAGGGGATTCTCAAACGATGATTCTTGAAGAGTGTAAAGCTTGTGATGAAGCGAAATACGAGTTGACGTTTGAAGGTCTTTGGTCACGTCACACTCATCCAAAGGACTTTCCATCCAACGGTTGGCTTACGAAGTTCAGCGATGTAATTGGAGCATCACATACGACAGAATACCGCTTTTGGGTTTATGGTGAACCTTCAAGTGAAGGCATGAAGGAAGTTGCTGAACATGGATCAACGAGACAACTCGAAAGAGAATTAAAGGAAGAGGTTTGTAATCTTATAACAATTTTTCGATATTATTAATTAATTCATTAATTAATTAATATGTGTATGTATGTAGAGTGAACATATCAGAACAATTATTAAAGCTCGAGGCATTTCATATCCGAACGTAACAGGAAAAACTTTTGCAGTGTTTCGAGTTGATTCAAAGCATCATTTAGTGTCACTCGTTTCAATGATTTATCCATCGCCTGATTGGTTTGTGGGTGTTAGTGGATTAGAATTATGTTTGGCGAATGGTTCGTGGATCGAACAAAAAATTTTGAACTTGTATCCTTACGATGCTGGTACTGACAGCGGTCCGACTTACATTTCACCGGATCAACCGACGATACCAAAGGAAGCGATAAGAAGAATAAAACCAAATCAACCGAATGACCCACGTTCCCCCTTCCATGATCCAGACAATAAGGAAATGAAGCCATTAGCTCGATTGTATTTATCAAGACAGCGACTATACGAAAAGAATTGTGACGCTATCGTGACTGACACACAAAATGATTGTGCGGTTGGTAAGTGGACCGATTGGTCAAAGTGCGATAATCCGTGTGGTAAAGGAAGACGTTCCCGGCAACGATATTATCTTAATCCTCAATTGGCTTATCAGAAAGGCTGCAAAAAGAAGCTAACCGACCATGAAGAATGCCATGGAACGAGAGAAAATTGTGACGATGAGCCATTTGAAGAGGATGAAAATATCAGAAGAAGCTTTGACCCCGAATGCGCCCTAACTGCTTGGACCGCATTTAGTGAATGTTCGGCAGCTTGTGGAAAGGGTCAAAGGTCGAGAACAAGAAGATACAAAATAAGAAAAAATCACAAAAAATGCCAGAAGAAAAATCCCAAAGAACTTGAACAATTTTTGAACTGTGAAGGGATGGAATGTGCTGGAAATAAAAAGCATGAAAAATTGACAAAGAAAAAGGTAGGCGAGGGTAGTTTTCAGTTTTATGTTACTTTGAACTTACAAGAGTTGAGAATTTCCTTTTAAACATATAAAAAAGTTTAAGCCATAAACAAGTTTGAAGTTTTACGTTACTTTCAAACAATCCCCTTTAGCTATGACTGCAAAATCATGAAAGTCTGAAACTAATTTATAATCTTTTCCGGGAAAACTAAATTTAGGTGAATAGAGCATGCAGATTAAGTGAATGGAGTCGTTGGAGTGCATGCACTGCAACTTGTGGTTTAGGAGAACGAATGCGAGTTCGTGTACCGATAGAGAAGCACTCGACAGCAGACGAGCATCAGAAGAAGATAATGAAATTGTATAAAAAGTTTAACACTGAACATAACAAGCATTACAATGAGATTCAAGATGAGAACGAGGAAGAACATGCAGTTGATGCTGATGAATCTCAGGAAGATGAAAAAAGTGATCTCGAAATTTTGGGAATCACAAAATCAAACCATCCTTGCATAAATGAAATTCTGGTGGAGAAACAAACATGTGGCATGCGAAATAAACCATGTGAACATGAGAAATATGGTCTTCCACGTAAGTCTTTGCAAAACTTTTATCTTAATCATATTAAATAGAGTAAGTTATCATATTGTTGAACGACTTAACGATGAGTCTTCAAAAGAATAATCTTAGAAGCCTCAAAAATATTCAAATTTAAGCAGCAGAAGCTTTTAAAGAAAGGTTTTCTTAACTATGCCTTATATATTAAATTACCCTAAATGTATGTAAAAGAATTTGTTCTTTCATTCGTTTGTTCAGCATTTTGTCTACTGGAACCGAAAGTTGGCGCCTGCCGAACTCAAGCTGAGAATCGTTGGTATTTCAACAAATACTCACAAGACTGTCAGATCTTCCCTTACACAGGCTGTCATGGCAACAAGAACAATTTTGAGACACAAGAACTTTGTCAGCAAACGTGTGCTCGTAAGCTTTAAATGTAATGCGATTTATGGCTTTCTAGTATGCTAAATTCTCCACCCTCCATCTACATCCACTCCCTTCACCCTCTTCGTATGTTCATTCGATAGGAAAAATTAACAACAGTTTGCAATCCTACTCACTCGTCGATTCTGAACGCTTGAAATTGAATGAGCGAGTGGATTGCGAAGTTACCAATTGGAAACGTTCAATGTGCAATGTCACATGCAGCGACGGTTTCCGATGGAAATCCAGAGCGATTATTGTAAGTTTTTATGACACATTTTTCTATTTTTTTTGATTGAAAGCTTGAAGGGAATAAAATTATTATTCTCATTTTTCTTTTTAACATAAACGATAGAAATATCCGCAAAATGGTGGACAAGCTTGCCCCAAAAGGCTATCACGACTTGAACGATGTTATGTCACTTGTCCCAAAGCGATCGCACTAAGTTCATCAACACCACTTATCGATTGTGCATACTCAGAATGGAGCTCTTGGTCACCATGTAGTAAAACATGTGGAGATTCTTCACTTCAAATTCGAACACGATCCGTTTTAAATCAACAACAAGATATTAGCGAGTGTGGAGAACGCTTAGAAAAGCGACAGTGTGAAGTGATGCCATGTTTAGTTGACAACGGATATGGAATATTTTACAATCACCAACACTAAGTTATAGTTTATGGGTGATGGGAAAAAAGAAAAGGAAAATTAATTCTGTCAAGTGTATTATTAGAAAGTTTCTGTTTATGACATTTGTAAAGAGAGAGAAGAAGAAAAAAATCATTCACAACAATAAATTGAGGTTTAAGAAAAATTGTGAGAAGGGAAAATTACTATGAGTGATTTATTGGAAATGTAGCGGTTTTTATTTCAGGATAAAATTTACAGTTTGTGAAGTTGGTGAGACTTTATTGTTGGAATGCTTTAGGAAGGAATCGACACTTCCTGATATGTTTATTGTTGTTAAGCTTTTATGTGCAGCCAACCATAAAGTGTAAAAATAAAAATCGATATGGCATTCTATCTACCTACTTTACGATGCTATAAATTACGTATCGAAATGTTCGCCGAAAGATGAAAAATGTTTTCTAAAAGTCCGTTTACAGATTTTGTTCAGTCAGAGGCTTCATCTTTTGTATAGAAACAAACATAATCGAGTGATTAATGAGAGATTAAAGCTTCAGAAAATGCTTTTCTTTATGATGTATTGGAGATGATGATGAATGATGGAAATATTAAGTGCGCAATGAAATGGAAAACCTTGCTTAACAACCATAAATGCAAATGAGAACAAAACCGATTCACGTCAATTGACAATTCTCTACACGAATCAATAACTTTGTTTTTGTGAGTTTCATTTGAGGAAGCAGACGACGAAAACTTGTGCAAAGTGTCAAAGAGCTTTTGAAGCATGATAAATTAAAATTCTCTGGAAAGCCATAAATCTCAATAACACAAAAGCTGAACAATTGCTTGCAAATGAAACTGAAATTGAAAAGAAGAAATCTTCTTGTTTTACTTGTACACCTGAGAAAATAAATTTCCACATATTGAGCAAGGTAAAAAGATAATTCCTGAACATTTATTCTTCGTTCCAGCATTTCCGAATCTTATATGCAGCAATTGTTTGAACAGCACAAGCTATACGATCTTTTTAATGCTTTTTCTTATCGTAACTAACAGTAAAATTACCTGAAAAAGAAAAATCTTCACTGCCAACTTGAAACGGAAAAGAAAGTTTCACTTTTTCACGATTGAAAGAATGAAAAAGTTTTTAAATTTTCTCCAAAACTTTTGGGGTAAGAAAGCTTTGGATTTCTCATTATAACTTATGAATTCCATTTCATTTCTCTCAAAAGACGAAGCTATAAAAATGCTTTTGATCGCAAAACCCGAAATATAAAATTCAGGATTGAAAAAATTATTGCGACACTCAAATCGCCGTTTCTGACAATGTTGGAAACTTGAGCAAAGAAAGCTCATAAATTACGCAAAATAAAATTCCGAAGAATGAAAAAATCCCATTGGGACTTGACGGTGACTTAAATCGTAAAAATTTTCGAATGGCCATAAATCGTCGAAGAGAGTTGATGTGAAATTTATTGATTATGTGAAGCTTTGAAACATATTTCAGAAAAGTCGAGATATCTACTGCTTTTTATTGTGATTTATTCAGATGGTGACAGAAAGATGACATTTGGTCAAGAACTTTGATATTTATGAAGTCGACTAATATTTAATTTCGTTTTATCGATTCCAGTATAGAGAAATCAACTTCAAAATTTCAAATTGCTGCACCCAACTTTAATTTCATACCACGAAAAGTGTATGTGCATGTATAAATGCACAACCGGTCAAACTGGTTCTTAATTTAACTTCTGCAAAATGTCTTTGTGTCTATAGAAACTTTTAAAAATAAATAAAATCCCATTTTCAAAGAAAAATGTTTACGACCTCTCCAAAAATGACATTTTTTTATCACGTTAAGGCATTTGAGACTAAAATAATCTCATCATTGTAAAATTACCAAAACAAGAACGAAAAACTTAAGTTTTATATATTGAAAAACTTAAGATAAGATTTAGATACGAAAAAAAATTTTTCAATGCTTTCTTTATCTTCTGTTTGATTAAGAATTGTGATGATGATGATGATGATGATGACGATAAGTATAAATTAATAAATTGGTATTTGTTCAATTTAAAGTTGTTCTGGTGTTCATATTTGCTTGAGTATAAAAATCATTTGCGGAATAAAACCAACACTCAGTCGTGTTTTGAAGTCTCGTCAAAATGTTTTATTTGATTCTTTTCTCAGTTATTGTTTATTTATTGTACAAATGGGCAATTAAAGATCATGACTATTTTGACAAAATTGGCTTGGCATATGAAAAGCCATACCCTTTGGTTGGCAATATGCTTGATATCGTGTTGCAACGAAAGCCATTGATGGACATGATAGAACCAAACTACTATCGACACAAGAAAGACAAGTAAATATGGAAATCAAATTGCTTTTAACTAAATTTAATTCAAACTTCTTCTCCATTAAAATTCAAGAATTTTTGGCTTCTTCAACTTCACGAGAGTTTCTTACTACATTCTCGACCCTGAAATCATCAAGAAAATTACAATCAAAGATTTTGATCATTTCGTTAATCACAGCGATGAAATTACGAATGCTGATAATGTTTTCAATCGAAGTTTGTTTGCATTACATGATAAAGAGTGGAAAGATATGCGATCGACCTTGAGTCCAATTTTCACAAGTTCAAAAATGAAAATGATGTATGGACACTTATCAGATCAAGCAACAAATTTTGTCAAACATTATGAAGAAAAAGCCAAGAAGGAAGATAATCTGATAGTGGAAGCGTTGGATACGTTCGCTCGATTTACTGCTGATGGAATTGCGACATCAGTTTTCGGGTTCCAAACTGATTGTGTAGTGAACAAAAACAGTGAAACATACAAAATTGTTCAAAAAATGCTTCATGATTTCCTTGGAACAATTGGAGTTCTGAAAACTGTCTTCTCGTTTGGTTTTCCTAAGATCTACAATATGCTAGGACTTCAGATTACCTCCAGAGAAATTTATGATTTCTTCAAGCGAGTTGTCATTGATGTGATGGATGAAAGAGATAGAAAAAATATTTTTCGACCTGACGTTATTCAGTTATTGTTGCAGGCCAAGAAAGGTCAATTAAAAACTGAGAAAGAAAACGAACTCAACGAGAAAGAACTTACTAACTTTGCTGCTAATATCGAATACGATCTTGGATCAAAGATCAATGATGCGTCTCATTTTACACAAGACGATTGGATCGCTCAAGGTTTTATATTTTTCTTTGCTGGGTGAGTTCAGTGAGAACTTTCAATAAGTATACAGTAGAACTTCGATAAACAGTTTCTTCGATAAACAGATAACTTCGATAAACAAATATTTTTTTGTCCCCTTTGAGTTATCTGTTTATCAAAGTTCCACTGTACTATGCTGCAATCAATTTTTAAACAGTGGAATCTTATCATCCGACTTCTTAAATCTATAATTATCTATAATAACTCTGAAACAGTCAATTTAAAATTCTTTCCCACGCAGAAAAGAATATGTTAGCCACAATAACGTTTTTCACACTGTGACGGCGAGTTCATCGTGACTGTATCAATATGATGCAAGCAATAATCGAAATAATGTTATGTTGTTGGTAGACGTGCATCACGGACACGCCGTTCTAGCATGAAATACGTTATTATCGCTGACATTATTTTTTTTTGTATGACCATTGATTTCTTCTTTTTATTCAAAGTTTCGATACAACATCGAACCTTCTTCAAATGACATGTTACGAACTTGCAATGAATGTTGACATTCAACGTGAACTACAGGAAGAAGTTGATGAGCAATTGAATTTGCTTGATGGAAAAACGATCAGTTATGAAGCTCTGCATAAGATGAAATTCTTGGACATGGTCATTTCAGAAGCTTTGCGATTATGGGTTCCTGCCCCTCAAGTTGATAGAGCATGTACCAAGGATTACGATATAGAGTTGGGAAATGGACGCAGCGTGACAATAAAGAAGGGGCAAGTCATTAATATCCCGATTCAATGTGTTCATCACGACCCAGAGTACTTCCCGGAGCCTAAGAAGTTCAATCCTTATCGATTCAGTGACGAAAATAAAGATTCTATCATTCCTGGAACTTACCTTCCCTTCGGAATGGGTCCAAGAATCTGCATTGGATCACGATTTGCATTGATGGAAGCGAAACTTTTAATGTTCAACTTGATGAGTAAATTCAATGTAGAAAAATGTGACAAAACTCCTGAAAAAGTGACATACGAACCAAATTTGTTTTTCAGAATCAAAGAAAAAATTTATTTAAGATTCAAATTAAGAAAATAAATTTTATCTCTTTTTGATTTAATTTCTTTAACATGATTTGAATCAAGAAAAGTAACATTTGTTGTTTTATATCTGCATACATAAATATTAATCCGAGGAACGAATAAATAAAAACAGAGAATATTAACTAAATTTTCAATTTTTACTGTAATATTTTAAATGAAAAAAAATTTCAG